CCCCCTGCCCCCTCCTTTCAGGCAGCTGTAGAGAGTGATGAGGTCTCCTCTCAGCCTCCTCTTCTCCAGACTAACCCCCCCCAGCCCCCTCAGCCGCTCCTCGTCAGACCTGTGCTCCAGACCCTTCCCCAGCTTTGTTGCCCTTCTCTGGACCTGCTCCAGCCCCTCAATGTCCTTCTTGTGGTGAGGGGCCCAAAACTGAACCCAGTATTCAAGGTGCGATCTTTGTATAAAGATTATATATATATATACAAGTATGTATATTATATGTATATACACATACACATATAGCACATACTGTCCTATTCAGAGCTAGAGTTGATCTCTGGGTTTCTTGGTGATAATATTCCCCTGCCTTTCCAAGGAGCTTTGAAACTCACAGCTAGCCTAGCTCTCCCACTTAGTTCTTTTAAGGAACAGCAGCCAATACCACTACTGCTGTTTACTTGGCCAGCTCAAGGGATAACCACATGCACCAGAATGTCAAGGATGGAGGACTGCCCATGTTGAGGCCAGTAGATTCTCACACAATAGAAATGCTTTTTTCATACGAGTGCTTTAAAAACCAAGGCTACCACCTCACTTCCCCAGCTAACTACCCAGGAAAAGGAAACAAAAATGACAGATCTACTTATAAGAATGTTACCACTGCAAAATCAGAAGCATAAAATCAGCATATTTTAGGATTGTATTTGCCTATGCAACCTTAATTCAGTTCATTGTGCATATTTGTAAAGCTAGATGGTGAAATCCTAGCTTCCTTGAAGTCAGTGGGCTATTTGCCATGGACTTCAGTGATGCCAGTGTTTCACCCACGGTCTTCACCTACATGCTTCCAAATTCCAGATGCAGATTTTTTCATGTGGTCCTTTCCTCTTCTGTTTACAGAGTTGTCTGAATGGAAGTATTTTATTTCCCTTCTCTATATGCAGCATGTGGCCCAGTGCCTTATTTGCTGCACACACCAAAAGCCTACATTGAAGAGAGGATTTAAAATTACTCGTGGCTGTTTTTCATCACAAACCCTTATTGCTCTCCTGAGTCTCATCCATGCTATGAAAGCATCTTTAGACTGTCCTTGTGAAGCACTCGCATTACCAGGTCCATTTTATAGTTTGGAACCAGCAGCACAGAGAAATACACACAGATTTGTCTAATGCCCACTAATTCTAAGCTCTGAGTTATGCATAGGTCTGATTTATTCAGAAATCTTCAGTATTGTATGTTCAGAGCAAAGTTTTTGTTCATCTTTGTTTCTATTATGAGCTCCCATCATGTCTGCAAATCGAGCTCCAGTTATTCCAAGTCAGGCAGCATCCAGAAAATAAAGCTCACTCAGATTAGTGGTCACCTATAGAAAGCCTGATATAATTGCCAAATCTGCTGAAGAAACCAGAAACGTGTCTGCATTTCCTGGACTCACTGCATAGCACATGGGGGACAAATGAGATGCTCCAGAGAGCTAAACCCACTGCTATCCTCTACCCAGCAGGAGCCTGAGCCTTCTTGTCCCACCTTACTTGAAAGTAAGAATAAGAAAATGCAAAAGAAAACGTAAAGACAATTTGAAAATACCAGATTGAGATTCACTGTCCCCTGTACGGGTGAAATAGGTGATAAAGTCAATAGCAGGGCTATTGGACAAATGAGGGCCAGGTTTCACTTGGGCAACACATTTGCTGAGACACTACATGATGCTCGAGTGCAGCTATGCATTAGGAATGAAGGATTTACTGATTTAACGCTTGACTTGTTCATCCTTCTTAAAGTGCTCCTTATGACATCATGCTCTCATTGATTAACTCTCTGAATCTGTCTCTGTGAGGCATCTTATCCGAGGTTTTTGTGGATCGTTAAATTAAATGAATGGTTTAGTGACAAACTGATTGGGATGAATCCATTGACTAAAAGAACTGCATGGAGAAGGTGGGGCACAGAACAGGCTGGGAAGTGGTTTCTAGTAACTAGAATTTGAGACCTGCAGCTGCCACAGTCTGATGATGATACCGAAGGTTACAAACAGCTTATCTCGGAATTTATCTGGACACAGGTGCACTCTGTTCATATGCAAATGACAGGTCAGGAGCAAATGCATTTGTTGACACAATTAACTGCAATTGATCATAATAAGTCAAATCAATTTGGAAAAGCATCAGTTGTGCATGTTAATCTGGTGAAAAATATTACAGGTCTTGAACACAAGCCATAAAAAGAAAGAAGCATTGAAAGGCATATTTGTGAAAAACTGCAGACAGGGTTCTAAAACAGTGGTAGTAAACTGCTGAAAATGTCATGCATGATGATGTACTCAAGGTACAAGAATTAACACAATCATTAAGCCTAACTGAGATTTCCCGATGCATCACCTGCTTGCTATGAAGGACCAGGGATATCTGTAGCTTTTGCTTACAAAGAGCAGAGAAGAATATTACGTGAAACCCACTGAAAAAAAGGTCTAATTAATATTATGTCAGGGGCACTAATCCCTTGGGAGTGGACAAAGACAAAACAAATGAGTCATCATTGTACCTGAAAAAATATTCATTTACAAGGAACTTGCTTAACAAAAATTGGATTTAATGGCAGCTGTAACTAGGGTGGATATTCCACAATGTCATTTTAATTTGTCACATTTTTCTATACAGCAGAAAAGTTTCCTGTTGCTGAAGGTATTTCTTGAAACCCATTTGAATACATTACCTAGAAATAAAAACCTCAGAGAAACAATGATCTACAATGCTCAGCCCAAGGGCCAGAGCAAACAGCCTTGGCACTTGGACTGTCACCTCTCCAGCTGCCCAGCTCCATAGAGCCTCCTGGCAGCTTCTCCTCTCACTACACCTCACAGTTTTCTCCACCCTACATAGCCACCAACATCTAGAGCAGCATGTGGGACATTCGCTGCATGGTCATGGAGGGCAAGAGCAATAATAGCTAAGGCTTAGTGCTGCTCCTCAAACAAAGGGATGTTCAGGTTTCCAAAATGAGTCAAAAATTATAAGACTCAAAAAGAATTGCAGGGAGGAGTCCAGAGAATGGAACAGGGCTCTGGGACACAAATGCCCACGGACGTCCTCAGAAGACAGGACCATCCTACCTTTGCATTTACATTCAAGTACTTAGAAATCTGCATTATCAGCAAGCGAACATCTGGGTGAATATCTGCATCCGTATTGAACTTGGTATAAGGTAATACACTAAGTGCTCAGTCAGGGATGATGAATGCAGCTGAAAGCCTGAGGGAACCCCTTGGAAAGGTCAGAGCATACTTGTGGTGACATTTTCAAATGCAAGCTCAACAATGATGCACCCTCCATAATACATGCAAGCTGTGTCTTCCTGCAAAGCCTGCAAACAGAAGGAAGAGCCCCCAAAAACCAGGTAATTATAGCCTAGGGGGCCCATTATATATTATACTAATTTCCAAATCCGCTTCTGCAGACAACCTTTCTGCAACACTAGTGCAGCTTTTGCTGGGCACCATTAATTCATAGACACATTGTAACTGTGACCGCAAATCCTAAAGATGCTCCTCAGCTCTTTATCCAGGTAAAAGTCCTATTTAAGCCAAAGGAAAGTTCTGCACCAAAAAAATTATTAAATAAAGCAGCTCTCACATCCTTTCTGCTGGAGACCCCACTTCTCAGCTTTTGACCTGCCTCTGTGATAGGAGCGTTGCTCCTCATTTGAATTTCTGGAGGACTCCTAATGCTCACAGTCATACAGGGCACACAACCCTACTCAGGGCATCCAGTAAGTTGACGGCTTAGTTTGGACCCGACTGAAACTGCTGATCACACCAGTGACTGGCTGCTCCACTACATCTCTATATTATTCCTGCTCCAACATACAAAGTGAGAGTATTTTATTGCTTACACGGCAAAAGATACAGGTGATCTTCCTTTCTTAATTCAATTGTGACTTTTTGACAATTTCTTATTGACTGCCATGAAGTCATCAGTCAGTCACTGAGTAAATGAAGCTACATTCTAAAATGTGGTTTTGGTCATTTTTTTTGACAAGCAAATCATAGTTTAGTTTCTGTCATAGTGTACTAGTGAATGAAAATAGCTAACAAAAAAAATAGGTCTGATATCCCCACAGAAAATGAGAAGAAACATTCAAAGAGACTTACTGGGTTTGTAAAAATAACAAAGGGAGAACTGCTAAGCTCCTACCCCCGTTTCACTCTTGTTTTGAACTGGAGGGCAAACCAGCTCCAGAGCCAAGCATAGGCATTTGGAATTGGAATACACCCATCAGAACTGAAGCCTTTTCACTACGGAAACCAACAACCTCCTTAGGCAGAGTGACAGCTGGGATCAAGTACTCTTATCTCCAGTGCTCACCTGAGACTGAGTAAAGAAATAGATTTATTTTCTGTTTTATTATTCCACCCTATTTAGATTCCAGATTAATTTACAAGAACTTCACTCAGGGACACAAAACAGAATCAAAACTAAGCCACAAGCATTAGGAAATCTACTTCAGTTAACATTAGCTCCTCACATACATTCCAGATTTTCACCCCCTTACCTGGAGTAGCGCTGGAGACTGTTGGCCACTGCTGATCAGGCCCTCCTGGTCCTCCACGCAGGACTCCTGCCTCCTCCATATGCACAGAACTGAATAAGCACATATCATGGTTAGATATACAGTTCCCTTCTGCCCTGGGCTTTATAACACTTTCCTTTCTTGCTACTCTTCAAAGGTCATAACTGTTGCTGCACAACTACTGTTATAGTATTGCCTGATGCTAACTAATTCTGCTGGAGCATTGGATAACGATCTATTTTGACTTGCAAAATTTACCTTTGCTTATTTACTAATAATTTATAAATAATTTACAATGGCATAATTTATAAAACAAAATACCTGCAGGACATTTGGCTTTCATTGACTGAAAATCACTAACAAGGAAGCTACGCACCTTTTTTTGCTGTGATGATGTACTGACATTAAAGCAAGAAATAAAAAGTTGGTGGAGTTAGTTCTGAGCTTCTGTCATGATGCTGCTTTAACAGATTCCACCTTCCTGGGTTACTGCACACTTCTCGTGAGCAATTCAGAAAGAGAAATAAATTTTCTCAAATGCAGAAACTAATACAGCAAATTTTACAGTGAGCACTTGGTCTCGAAAGCACCAATTTGGATATTAGCTAGCAGCTTATATAGAAGGAAAAGAAAAAAAAATCTGCTACTTTTAATGCAAAACTAGGCACGTATTTGTGTGCAGTTCCTTAGAGAAACTGGATTCTGTGGCTGTGTCCCTGTCTCTGCTCATCTGCTTCTCAGCTCCCTTCCACACTCCCAGTTGAACTTAATGGGCAGTTTCAACTAAATGTGGCAGATGTCAAGGGTCCTGTGGATACCACATTTCTACAAATTCTATGAAAAACCAGCATTTTATGAAAATCATCAGCTGAGCAGGTCACACAGGCTCAAAACCTGAGATTTCAGGTAAGGACAGGGGCTGCTGATGTGATGGAACAGAGGAGCATACACAGTTTCCCAGAAAGGCTTCACCAGCTCCCCTGCTTGTGGGATAGATTGTTTTAAACAAGCTGACTTTTCAGGAATTGTTCAAGTAACTTTAGGCAAGATTTCAAATTCTGCATGGAAAGGAATATGGATCCCCAGGATGATGTTGGGAATACACAAGAGCACGCCTGACTCTGAGGACCAGCAGACAAGATGCTCAGGTAGGCAGGAGAATTCCTGCTCCAGGATGCTGCTCCCCAGCCTGTTTATTCATCTTGCAGGAAGCAAGACTAAAAAATAAAAATAAATTAAAAATAAAATTAAAAATAAAAATAAATAAAAAATAAAAAAATTCAGAATCATAAAAGAAAGAAAAGTTTGCCCAACAAGCCACAGAATCAAGCTTGCTCTTTCTTCCTTTCCTTCTGGTCCCTGAGGTTTCGGTTCTTCCTCACACAGCAGCCCAAAGTCAGCTGGAGAGGTCCCTGCACCCTCACCCACACAAAGCACAGTCTTAGGGATGGACAGCCTGAATCTCAAGTTTTGGGCTTCAGCTTCATGAAGACTCTTCAGCCCTGTGGATAATGGATAAGAGGGGATGACTCCAGTCCCATTGCACCGGCAGTTTGGGGAAAAGCATACCAGCCTGCACTTTGTAGGGCCACTAGGAACTACTGTAACCTTATAACTGCACCTAAACCTGTCAGGTAGTCTTATTAATCATGTCAGATTCCACCTGAATAGGTAACCAGTGTTCTAATCTGCTCAGAAAGGGAGAGCAAAGATATTATTTGATTTAGGTCCAAGAAAGCAACTTGATTGTAATTCTTTGTTTCCAGGTGTGCTGAGTACGGAATTATAGCAGAGATTGTTTGTGATGCTAGGCAGAGACTTCCAAAGATGTCTAAAGAGATTTGGACACAGGCTCACTTCTCCTTCTTGAAAAATCCACCTCATATTTTCAAAATGCCTTTTGAACTGTGTTAATCATCTTTGATTGCACCGGGTGGTTAATAAACCGATGGCAGGAGCAGCATACTTTTACAGTAACAGAGACAAGAAGACGGAAAAGGCATCAATGCTGCAGTCTATCGAAACAGAGCAGCAGAGATGATTACAGGGGGCTTTAAAGTAAACACACGAGGTATAATCACAGTTAAATAATTCAATAATTGGAGTAATTATGCCTTGACAGTTAACGTATAAAAAGACAAGACGTAAATAGAAAAAAACCTCACAGATCTGTGGTAATACAATAATAACACAAGATGCAGCCAGGCTGAGTTGTAACACTCGGAAATTGGAAGTGACAGCAGCAGAACTCAGGGGCTTCCCAGCTCAGTGTCCAGATATGTCAGTCTAGAGCATCAGGGGAGCCAGACAGCTTCGTCCTTTCCACAGAGGACACAGACAGAATTCCCCTTCACGTGGGGAAACACCATACCTACCTTTGGATTCCTGCCCTCAGGGATGCGGAGTAGCGCCAGTCAGGATTGGGGTGTTTTGGCTGTAGAAACAAAAGCCCAGGAGAACATGGTTAATGTGTGTCAAACACGGGGAAAAGCAGATGCATCTGGCTCGTTGCATCAGAAGGGACTATATGGAGCTACTCAATTTTTGTGAACGTTCAGAACTGCCCAATCCTTCTACAAATCTACAGAAACTTTGAAATGGACACACAGAGATTGTCTCTAGAACAAAGAAACTTGGTTGTACACCAAGGCCTTTGGTTAGAGATGATCTCTGCAGAAAAACATTTAATGCTGGAAACTGGTGCACAGTTATTTTACACATTCATCAGCATTCTGGGCACAGAAAAAAAAAAAAAACCAAAAAAAACCACAACACATTGTAAAACCATAATACACATTGTTTACCTGATAAGCCAAGGGAACTTGGCATAGCATCTGCCCGAGGATGTATAAAATGCAGCCCCCTGCAAAGGGGCTGTGGACAGTGATCTGTTTGCTGTGGGGATTCTGCCAGCATTTCAGGTACTGCAGAGGACTGCACTAGATTGTAGCAGATTTGCAGAGTGCAGCAAGTCTTTTCTCAAAGGATGACATGTTCTTTTCACAATACCCAGAATTACTCCATATTCCATATTCATGAGAGGGCATAGGAGATGGAAGGGGAAAATAGCCAGCAACACCCTTTGACCAACAAACCTCAGCAGAGGCTGCTCTGCTGCAGAACGGCTTGCTAAATGAGGAGATAATGAAGAAATCCTCTGTTGATCAAAAATTACTCCAGAAAGTCTCTTTTGTATCTTCATGGGACCATCACAATAATTTTCAATGACAGACAATGAATGGAAGCTCAGGTCCTTTAAAATTAAGCTCTAAGCACATAACAAGTTTATTTCTCAGGATTCTCAAGACATTATTCTGTATGTGATAGTGCAGCCAGTGCTTAACTTCAGGAATTTTAATTCAAAGAGAGACCCTACAACCAGAATCATAATGGACTACACTCATTCCTGGTGTGTCTTTTGCAGTGCCAAAGGCACAAATAATATATGACAGTAATGGTTTAATTCTTTTCAAGCTCTTGGAGGCAGATCAGAAATTAATTTTGTCCCATTACTTGGAAGAGAAAAATAAAGTGTTGGATGCTATGAATTATTTAAAGCCAACTCTGTCTTTCCTCTTGAGGTTTGGGGTATGCTTTCCCCAGATCAATAGGTTTTATTCAAATAAAAATGGAACAGCTACAACTTACACTAGGTCTCTAACACCAGAGTTCCCGGGTCCAGCATCACTCAAGAGTGAGATGCTCTTGGATGATGTGCATCCAACTATTCTTTATGGTCTGAGCTACACAAAAGGGAGGAGGCTGCTATTTGCAGCCACACATTAAACATCTCTGCTAGCAATTTCCTTCCCATTTAGCCCCTAGTTCTCTGGCATACTCAGGTTCTGCTGCGTTTAGCAGAAAGTGGCTTGACAAGGAGCCCATTATGCATGGTTCCAGTATTTTCTGATTCATTCCATTTTGTCCAGGGTCCCAGGGATGTCAGAGCACCTCTAAAGTCAACCACATAGTAACAGTCAATGAAAGAGGCTAGAAAATAACACACCCTGATGAGACCCTCTCCTGAGTTTGCCTTTCTTGATTCATGAAGGGTGCTGACACCAGAAGATTTAGCTTTTCCTCTGCAGGGGATTTTCCTACAGCAGGGGAACTGCTGGATTGGGGGTTGGGGGGAAGCCCCTTTGCTGTTTTGTGTGACGAGAGAGGTGCAGGTTATTCATTTGTTCAGGCTTACAGGCAGCATGAGGAAGAGGAATGTGACCACAGTCCCAGGCAAACCACAGATGAAGTGAGATTACATCAAAGAGCTGGAAAAGTTTGACACGAGTTGGGTGCGAGTGAGAAAAATGGAAGACGGCCACTCAGCCACAGTATATAGATTTTTGGTTTTCAGCTGAGAGCTTTCCAGCTCTTGGCTAGAAGACAAAAATCTATGTTTGGTTGCAGTGGGAACTTTCAGACACCAGATCACAAACAGGTAATAATGGTGAGAGAAACTCATCAGTTAGAAATTGATCATCTATTCACTTCACGTGCATAGAATCATAGAATCGCCTGGGTTGAAAAGGACCTTAAAGATCATCTAGTTTCAACCCCCCTGCTGTGGGCAGGGTTGCCAACCACTAGAGCAGCCTGCCCAGGGCCCCATCCAGGGCACTGGGAGCAGTGGGGAGGGATTAGGAGACAGCAGGGGCAGATCTGGGGCATACTGGGAGTACTGGGAAGGGATCTGGGGGGAGCACTGGGTGTACTGGCAGCACTGGGAGGCATTGCACTGAAGGGTTAATGGGGGGATTTGGGTGGTACTGGGTGTTACTGGGAGCACTGATGTCACTGTATGTCAAGACTCATATTCCTTGGTTCCATATGTATGTATTGAGTTTTCTAGAATGATTACACATATTATTTTTCTGAAAATTTACATATTATAATCATTTCCCCAAAATCATCAAGATATTGATTAGTTCCCTGAAAACTTTACCCAATGCCTACTGGTATTTGACCATGACAGGTAGAGTAGGGACCAATTCCATCAGGATGTAATCATCAATGTATATTATTCTGCGATATTTTAAATTTCAAAAAATGATACTGTTTTAAAATATTTTTCTTGTTATGCTGCTCTGTTGAGATACATAGTATGGGCCAACATTCATCACAGCAGTGTAACAGAAACAGCAGCAATTAGGACACCCTGGTGTTTTCAAGGGTTACTGTCCAGAAGCTGGGAAGCATCTCGTGGCTGCTCCCAAAGTGTTCCCTATTTGCTACTACTCTTTAGGCAGGGCTGTCATGCTGCTCCCACAGGAGCAGAAAGAAGAAGGGGACAGGATCAAAGAAATAGACCCTGGAGATGGAAAGATCGATTCCTACAGTTGACTTTCAGACACTTTGGGGGCTGGTTTTTTTTGTTTTAACTGTGAAAAATTCAGTGTCCAGCACTTCTCTACTTTTTGAAGTCTTCACAGGAAGAATAGGAGGAGCAGGCAGCTGGGCAGCAGCCTGCCTCTGTTTAAACCTGTTGTCACCCGGTTTTACTGTGTACACACTGCTTGACTGGGAACTGTCAGACCTCAGGAAGACATGCAAGTTTGTCCCACATTTGTGTTACCACAGGCCAAAGTCCTGCAACTGGCAAAATCAGCGAAATTCCAATTTTGTCAGTGTAACTGGCTTCCCCTTTTGTTCTGCTACAGACTGTAATTCTTCAAGATCGTCTGGCCATAAGAGAAAAGTTGTTTCAAAACATGTTTAAATGAGATTAGGCAACTAGGAGTGAGAAAGGCAAAAAAAGCAGGACCAGTGATAGAAGTCACAGCACAGCAGAAGCAGCAAACCTGGTCAGGAGTATGTTTCCCCAGTTCAGACGCAGCAGTGCTGTTTCTTATGGATCCATCAGGCAGTCACAGTCTGCGTCCTTGGGTTGGCTTCTATCTCTGGCTACAAACAGCCCACCTTTACCAGACCACCCACTGAAACCTGCCATGTCGACACATGCTGGCCTGCAGCACACAGTCACTGTGTCATGGCACAACACAGCCCATCTCCAAGCAGAGCAGTGTCTTCAGCACAGCCCTGGGGACCACAACCCTGCAGAGCAGCTGTCAACAGGCTCCTCTGCAAAGCCCTGGCACGGGTTTTGCTGTCAGCAGTGCTGCTGTGGCATAGAAACATAGAATCATAGAATCATTAAGGTTGGAAAACACCTCAAGGATCATCAAGTCCAACCCAGCACCACCTAACCCACTAACCCATGTCCCCAAGCACCACATCTACACGTTTCTTGAACACCACCAGGGATGGTGACTCCACCACTTCCCTGGGCAGCCTGTTCCAATGCCTGATCACTCTTGCAGTGAAGACATTTTTGTAATACCCAGCCTGAACCTCCCCTGGTGCAACTTGAAGCCATTTCCTCTTGTCCCATCACTTGTTACTTTGGAGAAGAGCCCAGCACCCACCTCACTACACCCTCCTTTCAGGTAGTTGTAGAGAGTGATGAGGTCTCCTCTCACCCTCCTCTTCTCTAGACTAAAGAACCCCAGTCATAACTCAAAGCCACCAGGACAAGGCACAGCTGGCCAGGACGCACAAGCCCAGAGAGGAAGCACAAAGAGGAACAGAGATGCTGAAGTGGTCCAGATGCTTCCCAGTTGGATATCCCCATACTTGTGCTATGTCACACAATGCTGATGCAGATATTATTGTTCCTTTTACCTCCCCAGCTCCCAGTTCATTACAAGACCCTGTTCATCTCATGCAAGCCCATTCTGATAACTTTACAGTAATCTCAGCCTACCATTTCCCTCAGAAATTTTTGGATGCCATGTATCAAGTCCAGTGGTCCTGTCTGTACCACTGATCAGTGGAGGTGAGGGCAATCCCACAATCCAGCACAGAAGCAACCAACCACTCCCTGTTTCTCCCCTCACCTGCTTTTTCTGATTTAGTAACAGCACACAACGACATATTTGAGAGGAGTCACCACCCATCCAGGTGCCTGCAGAAGTGACTGTCACTGCACCAGGTGAACAACTCACGCCAACGCTTGCTCCCGCTGGATTTCCAGGCCCCAGGGTTGCATTCTGACAACTGCATAACCATTAATGGGACTAGTCCGAACCAACCAGCCCTATTCAGAAGTCTGATAAAAAAACTGAAGGTACAATGTAAAATGGAGCCACCTTAATAGGAAAAAAAGCTCATGACAAACTTCCCACAGGTGTTTCCAAGTTGCAGAGCACGGGTTCATTTCAGAATCATTACATTGGTTCACGGAGAAGAAATTGAGTGACCATACATTGTTACAGACATTTTGCTCACTCCTCTTTTTTAGATAATACTTGAACATAGATTTCTCCCTGGAGTAGAAGGAATTTCTAAATTTTTTTTTAGCACTGTCCTGATCCCGTATTCCTGAAAAATCAATGCAAAGCCTCCCATTGACTCCGGTGGGTGTTAGAACAGCGCCTGCTTCAGGTAGAGAAGTGTGAGTCAAACATGTACAAACAGTTACCAGACAACAAGACACCTGAAAGCATCCCACTCCATTCCTACTTCCACACAAGCACGCAACAGAATGACATAAGGTATCTTTATCAAATATATCTGCTTTGAAGCAATAATAAAAAGCCTTTTAGACCCCTGACTGCCTACAACTCTGCTTATTTTGCAGTGAGGCAATGCTGACAGATGCGGGGAAACAGAGGTTTCTATTCCCAATTTCCTTCTGTAAATGTTTAGAATTAATTTGATGTGGAGGACAGACTATTTATTGTCTGCACACATGTTTATCAGACAAGAAATCAGAATGGAAACTGGAAAAGGGCATAATTCAGAAGCCTAATATTTTCTTCCTGATAGCATTCGTTTGCATTCCTAACTCTGAGAAAACTAAGGGGAAGGGAACAGGCAAGCACACCTGTAAAGGCTATTTAATGAGTTCCAAGAGAAGAAAAACTTTTCTGATTAATGTTGGATGCAAATTTCTGCTGGCACAGCAGAAACCAAGAGTAGAACACGTACGGATACTGCCACTAAACAAAAGAACAAACATTTATAGTTAACCTTTATAATGTCACTGGGGCTGGAGAATTTCTTAAAGGCTTAAGTTCTTGAACTGAGATGGTAAGATATTCCACCATTAATACCTTCAAAGCCTCTATGAGAAATCTCTTGGAAAGACGGCTCCAGACAATGCTAGATTTAGACACTTCAAAACATGCTTGTGTTTTAAAGGGGTATCAAGATATGTTTGAATCAAGTGTTGTCTGGTTTTTTCCATGTGTTTAGCAAGCTGTTTCTTGAACTGCAAAACACAGAGGAAGAGTCAGAAGCAGAGCAAACAGCCATAAAACTCCAACAGACCCCTGGGTCCTACCAGCACTCATGTGCAGCTTTGATTCGTTTGGAAAAGCTTGCACAGAACATCAGAGATTTACTGATGAGCATCACCTGGAACATCCTATTCTGTCAGCCACATGCGTCACCACACAAAAAAATGGTGCAAGGAAATGCACAGTCAGAAGAACTGCTATCTATTTCTATCAAGTACCGAGACTGCCCACTCATCATGAGGGATGTGCCAGGCTGCCTTCTGGGGCAGAAAACTCCAGTTAAACACATGTTGGTTTGATTGTTAGTCACCACACTGAAGGGAAAAGGTCATCATGAGATGCAAGGCATAACGAATGAGCTTAACTGCAAAAAATGTGAGGCCAAGAAGGGAGAGGTAAAAAGAGAGACTACTCAGACATCACTTGGCATCTTCACACATGCGATAGGGACTCCAGACTAAAGCACCAAAACCTCTCCTGAAAATGATGGATAATCACTGCAGCAGTAGCCAGCAATAAAATTCCATCTTCCCAACCCCTCCTTCCCATCTGCGTGCACCCCTCTCCAAAGGCAGGAGTCCAGCTGCCCATAACCTCGTCCGGTGCCAGCAATGCACCCACCATGTCTCGCTGTCTCTCTGGTTTGCCCACGCTGCCTGCCTGCTCACCCTGCAGCCGTTACCCAGCTGGTGAGAGTGTGATATCCACAACTCCACGTTCCCAGCCTTAGTGCCAGACTTCTGCCAGCAGGAACTGTGTCCAAGGTTGCAGCACAGCTCTGTTAGTCCATTCCCTCTTTTGCAAAACACCCTTGGTTTGAGATCTTCTCATACACCTACGAAGGCCCAGACAGGCAAGCAGGTGGATGCAGAAGCAGAGGCCGTCCTGCAGAAACAAGCTTCCACTCCCCATCACACCACCACCAAGTCCAAATAGTCACACAGGAATCTGTGCTTCAACAGATACAAAGAATTCCCTCCCTAACCTTAATACATGGGGTTTTCCTTTCCGCTGCATCCTCTAATGAAGTCAGTCACAACTTAGTGCAAAGTCACTATTAACATCTTTGACCTTACTAGTAAATATGAAAACGACCCCGATCTTATTGCACCGAGTGTTACTGAGATTAAGCCCAAATAACTTGGAAATATTTTTCCTCTCACTGTAGAAACATTTGCAAAATATTAGCCTTTGTGAAACCCTACGTTCAGGAAGCAAACATAGAAAGCCCATTCACCGGTCCCATCCTCATTACTGAACAACTAATAGGAGATCAATTTCCAAAAACTGTAGAAAAAGAAAACAAACCCAAAACCCCAAACCCCCAAACAACATGTTCACATTATCCAAAAGTAACATAAACACCAGAGATTAACTTTGTAAATCAATGCAAGGATGATGATGCCTGTTGCTATGCTTCGCAGGCAAAGGCACGGGCTTTTAAAGCTGATTAAAAGTTCACTTTAACTATAAAAAGCAACACAGTTCTCTGAATATCCAGTAATACAAAGACCATTATCCTTAAAAAGTAGAATTCAGTGTTGCTAAGCAATGGAGGCATTTTCAGTGCATATGCTGAGCTTGAAACAAGGGAAAGACAGGATTTTATAGTATGTAATTAGCTAGGAACTAGTAATTAGCGAGTGCCATTATATTCACCCCTTTTCACATGTACACCTGGCACTGATACACCCTCATGCTACACACTGCCACAGGACAGTTTAAGAAGCAGAGAGCTGAGAAAAGATCTCGTGACAAGTAGAACTTGTCAGAATTTCACCTCTGTTTAAATCCCACAGAACAGCTGGAATAACAGTCCTCTTTCAGCTCACAACTGCAGGCAGGCAAGAGTTCAGTAGTTTGTTCTGTACATCTCACCACAAACTTTCTGTACTCCAGGTTTGGGCTGGCTTTGCTGCCTGATCTGCACCGGTGTTCGAAACTTGCTAATTCATTGCATGCAATGGCGTGATGCTCTAAAATGTGATAGAAATCTGGCTGTTAAGCTAATTTCCTACTGGTCTTACATCCAAAGCTAAGCCATTTTTCATTTCTTGCTCCTTGTTTCCTTCCCCAGAAAATCCGATGTAAGGTGAATATTTCACTCTTTGATTCTTCAGCATACATACATACAGAGTATGTCTCATGTTTCCTCCTATATCAGACAGATTCCAGGCATTTTATCACACTCTGAAAGATTTTAAGGTACAAAAACTGTGTAGAAGAAGAAAAAATACTTCCCCCATACACTGGCACTGTGATTTACAGAAAAACACTGCATTAATTTTAAATGGATGAGTTCTGAATGCATGATCATTGATCTCTAAAAGCATTTTTATGGAAGACTCCCTAGTCCTTAAGATTTGTGCATCTTTGTGCAGCAAAAAAACTAGTTGCACAAGATGCTAACATCTTCATATATGAATAAGGATAAAGAAATAAATTGTATTTCTGTGGCAAGAAAACACAAGTCAGGCTCCTTTCCATCCCTCCCCCCCCAGTTACTCCCCTTGCTTTCCCACGGCTGGAGCCACAGCCCACGTTAATGCACAAACTGATCTTACATCTGCCACAAATGTAGGGTACAAACACCACACAGTAATTGCAAAATTTGCCTTTTGTGAACCAGAATTAGTCTCTCCCGGGTTTAATTGCAATATATGTAGAAAGGAAACTGTACAGAGCAGGCAAACCCCAGACAAACTGCAGACCACCTGTGCGTTAGCATAAAGCAACCATTAATTCTTCACTGGGGGAAAACATTGAAAAGGTTAATATGCTGCTGGTCAAACGGTAGGTATTAAACAATTTTCAGTAGCAACCCAGCAGGTTAGAAGTTGGCACATTGTAACATAATACCGGTAACTTGCTGTAATTCTCTACAAAGATGACACTGCATTGTCACTGTCCAGAAAGCACGAAATGCAGCGTTGGGTGGAATAAAGGGGAGACTGCAGTTTTCAGACAACATGCCTGCATTAGTAAGCAAAGCATATTGTTGCAATGATCTAAATTCACCAACTTTGCCTGGGACTGAAATAAATGCAGCAGCAAACACCTATAATTGCCATAAAGTCATCTATTGATTTCCAGGCTAATCACTTTTTTCTTTTTTTCCTGCAATATTAGTTTTCACAAAAAAACTTTAAGGCCACATGTCATTCCCTAGCACTCTGTGGCAGCAGGCACTTTAAGATTTGTAAGAGAAAAGGGAAGGCGGCAATACTCTATCCAGCATCCACTGCAAAAATTAAGTGAATCTCAAACAACAGATGCATACACTGAACTTACCAAACAAACCCTGAAAGTCACAGTATTTACCTAGAAACAAAATGCATTGCACAGATTAGATTTGTTAGAACCACGTTTCACAGCTGTGTGGCAGTGAGCCCAAAAGGGAATATGCTTAATCTCAGTTTTCCACTTTGAACCCTTGCTGAAGTACAGATTCGTTCAGAGCACCGTGCAGAGCATTTCTCACAGTAGCCTCACCTCATTAGGAGTAATGGAGTCATTTTTAAGTATGATCAGGTTTTGTGCACTCTGCCCACTCTGTCCTGTCAGGTGCCTTTCAGTCATCACTGCAGAGGGCCCAGGAGTTCCCGCTGGGCCACAGGTATTGTAAAACATAAAAGTGTCACTTCCCGATCCTGCAGTTAGGCAGGCCTTATAGCAGTAGGTCTTAGTGAGAGAACCATTGCCCCTCACTTCAATGAAATGGGGTTGGACTTTTAAACCCTGGGGCAACCTAGCATCAATGTTGTTGTTGGCCTGCTTGTAGAGTTCAGCAGGGCACCGTTCTCTGACCCCACAGAACCCTGCACAGCAGGAGTCCCCATACAGACTGTATCTGTAGCACTTGATAACAGTAAGCCCAATGATGGTGAAAAGGAAAACGAAGGAGATGGCGCTCAAAGCAATGATGAGATAAAGAGTGATCTCTGAGTAAGTGCTTGGACTTTTAAAGTGCCTTCTTGTATCAGGGATGATTTTGGAAACTCTGTCCACCACGGCAACGGTGATGGCTACTGATGAAGACATGGGTGGCTCTCCATTGTCTCTCACCTCCACCGTCAGGTTGAAGGTAGGTGAGCTGTCTTCCGCCAGTTTGCGAGTAGTCCTAATCTCTCCAGTATGGAGCTCTATCCTGAACAAACCCGGATCTGAGGCTTGTACCAGGTGGAAGAACAACCAGGCATTTTGGCCTGAGTCCCCATCAATGGCTATAATTTTGGTTACCAAATATCCAGCATATGCTGAGCGTGGGATCATCTCCAAGGCTGCTGAAGTGTTGGTTGAGGTAGGATACAGAATCTGTGGAGCATGGTCATTCTCATCCACCACATAGATGTGGACAGTGACTGTGCTGCTCAGTGGTGGCACCCCGGCATCCTGGGCCTGGACAATCACCTGGAACTCCCTTAGTGTCTCATAGTCAAAGGACCTGACAGCATACATATTGCCATTATCAGATTTAATGGAAACATAGGAGGCAACAGGTAGCCCTTCAATATCCCCATCCAGTAGAGAATAGGACACGTAGGCATTTTCGGCGACATCTGGGTCAGTGGCTTTGATAGTGCACAGCAAGGCTCCAAGTGGATTGTTCTCAGGGATGTAAACTGAGTACACAGGCTCCTCAAAGTGGGGAGGATTGTCATTGATGTCAGAAATCTCCACATGGATCACCTTCTGCGAGGAGAGAGGGGGGCTCCCGGAGTCAGTAGCTGTAATTGTGATGTTGTAGGCTGCTGCTTTCTCATGGTCCAGTTTGCCCTGGGTGACCAAGGTGTAGGAGTTTTTGAAAGAGTTGAGTGTGAAGGGGAGGCCAGGAGAAATACGTAGGCTCACCTGCTTGTTCAGCCCTGAGTCCTGGTCAGTGACACTCATCAGGGCCACCACAGTTCCTGCCTTTGCATCCTCTGGCACTGGGCTGTACAGGGAGGTCAGGACCACCTCAGGAACATTATCATTAGCATCCACAATGTTGACCAGCACCTTGCAGTGCCCAGCCATAGGGACGGGGCCCTGATCAGTGGCTTGCACATAGATCTCATAGGAGGATGCCTCTTCATAGTCCAAAGTACCATTAACCCGCACCTCCCCTAAGTATGGGTCCACGTTAAAGAGCTGCCTCACCTTCTGTGGGGTGTAGCTGCCAAAGGAGTAGATCACATCCCCGTTGGAGCCCTCATCAGGGTCTGAGGCATTGAGTTTAACCACTAGCGTGCCAAGCGGGGAGTTCTCCACAAGGCTCACGGTGTAGGTGGAGTGGTCAAAGGCAGGTGGGTTGTCATTGGTATCCACAACTCGCACAGAGATCTGAGCCGTACCAGACTTTGAGGGCTCCCCACCATCTACAGCAGTGAGCACCAGCTGCTGCAGGGCACTCTGCTCCCGGTCCAGTGGCTGCTGCAGTACCAGTTCCAGGAGCTCGGCACTCGTTCCAGGAGCTGCCTGCCACTCTGGAAGCCTTTCAGGTCCAGGGCAAAGTGGCGGCTGGGGCTGAGCTGGTAGGTCTGCACAGAGTTGGTGCCCACATCAGGGTCTTGGGCACTCTCAATGTGGAAGCGGGCCCCGGGCACAGCAGACTCACTGATTTCCAGCCGGTAATCCTGGCGGGGGAAGTGCGGCGCGTTGTCATTGATGTCCAACACCTCCACCTCCACGTTGTGCACCTCGATGGGCTGGCTCTATGACCAACTCCAAGCTGAGGAAGCAGGTAGGGCTCAGCTCACACAGCGCCTCGCGGTCCATTCGCTCCCGCACCAGAAGTGCTCCGCGGCCCAGCT